ACGATACTTATTTCTCTGAATATGATCTTAGCAACTTCCTAACATATAACGGAACTTTTTTGCATACCGTTATACAAATGAAAAGCTAATTCGGTGAATTTATTTTCAGAAACGTAGTTTTGCTATGCAGTGGCTTAATTATGTGAGCACAAGTGTACTATACATATATGTATAAGAAGCAAATCATTTGCAATACAAAAATTTCGCGACTTTAAGTTAAGGTACAAAGTATTCTTTCTTTTAAAATCTATTAAAATTGCATGTATGCTATATTTTATTAAAATCGGTAGTTTATCTCGTACAAACAACGTGACACGTAATAGTGATATGCATTTATATAGTATCCATTAAAACTGAAGAACTGACTGTTAAAATGGCCAAAATACCAAAAAAATTTAATATTAATTTAAACTATCAATCCAAACATTTTTGTGTTGCTGTGTATGTTGGGTTATATTGCTAACCACCAAGAAAACACATTATTATGATTAAACAAATTGTAATAATTGTTTGTAGCATTGCCAACTAAAATTGTTTCAAAACTTATTTTAAAGTTGGTTTCATAAATGCTTCACATAGTTACATAGAAAAGTTCTTCAATTCTTTTACAGTTTTAGGTTTTTATTTTCCTACCACAGTTTTTCAAAGATACTATACGAGATTAAGATCGATGTTGAGCAGCCCATTAAAAGACTATGAAATCAGCTAGTCAAACTAAGACGCATATTTTGAATCGATACTGGTATATACCATCCCTTTTAATAGCATATTATATTATTGGCGTGGCAGCAAAATTCTATCTAAGAGAATAAATGAAAATCACTTCAAAACTATTAATTCGCCTACACAATTACCTTTTGATATACCATGGACTTAAACTTTGTCCTTATAGTTTGAGTACTTGCTTCAATCATCATATAAAGAAGCGTGTTATTTGTATGTAGGAATTGCATGTTATTATCGAAATACGAAAAAAGCGAAATAATGATTTTGTAATTTTTTACCTGGTCTTATAAAAATTTAATGATTCATCTGTGGACACAGTACATGTATATATACATATATAGTTATATATTAGGGTGGGTCAAAAACAACAATTGTGTTTTTCGAAAGCTTCTTCATGTATGATCTCTTTATTGTAACGGGAAGGTCTTCCGCCGAACGGTGTTTTATTTTTTCTTATTGTCAGTTAAGAAAATCATAACTCGGTTCCAACTACTTTAAAAATTTGTTTAATTGGTTAATAATATTTTTCTATTCATAGAAACTCAAAATTGTGTAAATTTTCTTCAAATTCAAAAAATAAATTGAAATTTTTCGAGTTATCGATTAAAAACTAGAAAAAGCGGTGTGCATTGAGGTTTTACTATAATATATCTCGTAAATGATTAACTTAGTCAAAGAATTATGGACGACCATTTTGTTCCTTGCCTATAAAATCAATTTGCCCTGTGAAATGGGATTTTTTTTTATTAAATTATAAAACTCAAGAAAAAACAAATTTGCCTTAAAATAGTC